ACAGTAGGGATACGAAAGGCCCCCAATGGGGGTCCACCCAGGCCAGCTGGGGCTGGAAGCTTCTTGGTGGAGCAAGCATGTGAGCTAGGAGGAAGGTCTGATGAGACTGTTCTGCTCCGGAGACTTGAGAACGCTAGAAGCAAGCACTGGCACCGGCCAGAGGAAAGGGGCAGCAGGGTGAGCATGGTGAGTGCACCCTGGGAACATGGCGAGCAGGGAGCTGCAACAGTTGCCCATGCCGAAGCTGGCAACAGGCAGGAGACAAGCGTCCTACAGTCCCTGACCTGCCTCAGTTGGTCATCGAGAGTCACAGAAGAGTTCTGGGCTGAGACACACGATCATGTCTTAATTTTAGAGTAGTGTCACGGCACTGCAGAAAAGGGCACTTATAGACACCATATGGGAAGCCATTTTAACGACCCCAATGGAATACCCCCTGAGCCAGGGTGGAGGAGAAGGATACGTGGGGGGCCTCGGAGAGTCAGCACAGGAGTGGACAACTCATGCTCCCTGCACATGCAGGACCAGGCGGCAGCCTCAGGCCAGCCTGGCCTCACTGTCTGGCCCTCACGAGGTGTCTCCCCAAGCAGAGATGGCGGCACGGAGCTGGTTAGCATGAAGCTAATGTCCTTGAGTTGCGTCTCACCAGGCTGGCTGCCCCGTACAAACTGCAGCTCCCATTAGATCTGCTGATGCCACTTATGGTGCAGGGAAATCGACCCTCCCCAAAATTCCATCTTCCTGGATGCTGACTAACCAGACTTCTGGTTTCCCCATCACCTTGTGGTGAACTGGGCTCGTGGCAGTCAATCTCCCAAGGGCAGCGGTTCTCAACAGGGTGACGGTAACCCCCGGGAGACACTCAGCAATGTGGAGATATTTTTGGTTGTCATAATGAGCACGACTGGCACGTGATGGGTGGAGACCAGAGATGCTGCTCAGCACCTTACAGCGCCCAGGACGCCCCATATCAGAGTCTTCCAGCCTCGGATGTTAACAGTGCTGAAGTGGGGAAGACTTGCCTTAGCATAGGAGGTTCTCTCTATATATCTATCTATCTGTTTATGTATGTATGTTTGTATCTACCTACCCATCTATTATCGATCTACTTATCTATCCATGCATCCATCCAGTCTACCTATCCATCATCCATCCATCCATCCAGTCGTCTATCCATCATCCACCCATCCATAGTTATCTATCCATCCATACATCTATCATATCTACCATCTATGTATCTATTATCTATCGGGTCTATATCATCTGTATCAGATATCTACACATCATTTAGCTATGTGTCATCTATCTGTTCTATGGATCTACCTTCTCTGCCTTCCTTTGTTCCTTCCATCCATCCATCCCACCATCAAATCCACTATACGTGTACCTCTCCATCCTTCCATCAAATCTATCAATTACTATCAATATCTATCAATATTACTATCGATCATCTGTCTATTGCTCTTTAGCAGTGGTCTGCAACTGTGGAGTATTTCACCCCCTAGGAGGTTTTTTTTGTCAATGTCTAGGGACATTTTTGGTTGTCAGCACTGGGGATAGCGTGCTACTGGCCCCAATCAGGGGGAGCACGGAGATGCTGTTAACTTTCTTACATTACACAGAGCAACCCCACCACAGAGAACGATCTGGTTCCCCGAGGTCAATAGTGCCAAGGTGGAGAACCCCTGTTCTGGAGTCAAACAACTCTAGGACACCAGCAATTTCTATATGACCAAAGGGCAATGAACAGACGTGGGAGGCTGGGGTTTGGGCAGACCCCAAGCCTTTGCCCCACAGAAATCCTGATTTTGCACCCCAGACAGTAAGCTACCCAACTCTTCTAAAATTATCTCCACGGGGTGAGCTGGCCTTCGGAACGGCTTTATCCCCGAACAGAACGTGCACTCAAATGCACATTTAATGAATGCCCTGGCATCTTCACAAAAATACAACAGGAGCAGTTCACATGTTGAACTCGAGTAATGGCACCGGCGGACTTGCCAAGTCACTCAACTCCAACTTCAAACTCCAAGTAATGGTGGTTCAGCTTGACACCTGGAATCATCAGCGTTCCATGTGGCCTCAAGAAACACAAGCAAAACCTGGGCCATGTTTCCAAATAGTATGGGAAGCTCCCTGTTTCCACATAGTATGGGAAGCAGATGTTGGGTGAAGCGACCTCCATTCACAAGACAAACTGCACAGCTGGGGGATTAAATACATTCTTCACTGATGGTCTTTCCCATTAATGCGTGCCCTTCATCATGTGGCCCTGGACACCCTGTGGCTCCCATCCGGATACAGTGTGCTCTCCGTGCTATGTTCGGAGAACATCCAGAGCCTGATTTCACTAGCTCAACTTATACCCAGGGTTTAGACACACCTGGTCACTGAAGTGAGAATGCACAGAAAAAACCAAGTGCTAGAAATATATTATAGTAGTAAGATCCACGTGCTCTGAGAGATCTACTCTGGGCAAGTCACTAAGTAGCTGTTACAGCTGAATTATATCCCCCCCAAATTCACATGTTGAAGCCCTAACCCCAGGACCTCAGAACGGGGACTGTATTTGGAGATGGGGTCTTTAACGAGGGGAGTAAGGTATAATGTGGTCAGCAGAGTACACCCTGATCCCACAGGACTCTCTGCCTCTCCCCCTGCTTGTGCTACCTCTGTCTCTCTCTCTCTCAAACAAATAAATAAAATCTTAAAAAAAAAAGAAAAAGAAAACGAAGAGGGGATGAGGACACAGACACCCACAGAGACGACCACGTGAGGACACGGGGAGAACACGGGGTCTACTCACCAAGCAGAGAGGCCTCAGGAGGAACCTGCCCCGGCCCCGCCTGGATCTCAGACTCCCAGTCTCCAGCCCCACCTGGATCTCACACTCCCAGCCTCCAGGACTATGAGAAATAAATGTGCGTTGTTTAAGTCCCCTACTCCATGGTATTGAGTTATGGCATCCCCAGCGGAAAAACTTATTTCCCACAATTTTTGGACAAAGGTCACCTGGAAATTTATAGTCTTTCAAAGGATCTGTTGTTGATAATAATTTCCCTAGATCCTGAGCATTTCAGGAGAACAGGCGCAACAACGTGCCTCGTTTTGTTTGCTCAGTAATGTGGGGGGAAAGCCAAAAATTGCTCAAAATTAGTACAGATTTTTAAATGAGGTCCTGCTACGTTTTCTCAAAACCTGTGAGTATAATCCCCCCTTTGAGAAGGCTATCAAATTGTTCCTCAAATTCCGTGTAGATGTAATGATGAGGAAACATTCCTACTTCTCAGCCACACCCTTCGTTGAACCTGACATGTAAAAAGACTACATTCGACTGTGACCTGCACTCCAGTTTTTGAATCACAAAGCCCATCATGCGTCGACACATGGTCGGCTCTGTCTTCTCAACCACAAAGTCGTTGGCCTGAGACTCCCTGCCTTTGGAAGGAAGCCAGAGACATGTCACCACAATTTGGCAATATCATAAAGGAGTCCAGGTCTCCCGTAGACAATATTTATTTAAAACCCTAGAGAGCTAAAGATCCTCCCCAGAATCACTATTTTAGTTCCTCCAAGAGATATAACTAGAAGCTTTCCTGAATTCCAGAGGAAGATCTAACGCACTCATTTTTATAAGTGATGTTCCACCGTGGACCAAATGGGAGAACCACACGTGGTGAGTGAGCAGCGTGGAGTCCCAAATCACCGGCTACTTTTGTTTCCATGACTTGAAACCCTGAGATGCACCTGACCCCTCCTTATCGGCACAAGATCATAAAAGGAAAGTAAAACCACAAAAAATCCAGCCTATTCCTTTCCCCTCCTCGTTAAACATGCAACAGAGTAGGGACTCTGGGTAAGTAAGACGCCCTTTCGGGCTTGGAGGATGGGAGGGCTCCTCTGGCAGCTTTGCGTTTAGAGGTGTCCTTCCAGAGTCCGTGTGCACGGGAGATGTCCCAGAGCTGTGACAAAGGGCTCCCGTCTGTGCGTGTGGACAGGTGTATCAGAGAAGAAGGGCTGGAGTTGGTCTGGTGGGAGGGATGGCCGGTGCAGACACAGAGGAAGGAGGCATTGCAGGGGAGGGGGGTGGCCCATGAGAGGCAGGGGATCATGAGGCAGCACCTGCCCCCTTCTACCACAGGCGGCTTTCCCTGATGTGGGACAACGGGCGTCAGGGTGTGTAGGGAAACAGAGAGCGAACAGAAGGTAAACCCAGGGGTCGGTTCACAACGATCCCTACGTGGCTGGGGCTGGGGTCTGGGTACCTCACAATTCCCTGCGGATCTGTAGGTACAAATGAAGGTCACCAGACAGGCATGTGGGGAGGACCACCACCACTGGAAGGTGAAGAATGCCTCGGAAGGAAGCAAGGCTGGGCGGGGAACACCAGGTGGGAGGCCAGGGTCAAACAGGAGGGCAGAGACAGGGGGCCCCAGATCAGGCCATGAGCTGTGGGGTGGGAATGAGAAAGAGCGAGAAAAAGATGGCGGAGGGGAGACATGGACCCTGGTTGGAAGGCACCCACACCGTGGACAGGGAAAGAGCGCCGTATCTGGGCATCCCGTCTCTGGCCCCTGGGTGCAGAATGGTCTTCCCTCTACCAGTAAATAGCGTGGGAGGACAGGGATTTATTTGTTCAGTGCGGGGCACCCTCGACCAGACACATCTGTGGTGCATCTAAATGGAGACACACAGTCACGCGCGAGAAACCCAAGGAGTGGCCTGCATGAATGAGGCTGAGCTGACGACTAAACAGGAGCTGGTGATGGTGACCCTGAAGGGGACGAGGGGAAGAACAGAGCGTCTGGTGGGACCACCCACGTCCTTCCGTACGTTCTGCTCAGCCAGGAGGGAAGTAAGGCCCGGGGGAGGCGCTGGTCCCAACAGCACCTTTCTCCCTGGACGCAGCCAGCCTGAGGGTCAGCAGTGAGCTCACTCTACCCCGCCTGGGATCTCAAGAGACGATGAGGACCAGGAGGAGACAGTGGGGAGGGACTCACAGCTTGACCAGGAATGGGTGGCTGACTTCCTTCAGCACCGACTTCTCATTGTGTACATGCTGTTCCTGCTTTAGGCGGATGACATCGGGGATGCTCATCACCTTCAGGGCAAAGAAATGCTTGGCCGCCTTGTCCTTGACCAGCTGCACCCGTCCGAACGTCCCGGTGCCTAGAGGGGAGACAGCACATGAGGCTGTATCAGGACCTTCAGAGAAACTGTCAGCTTCAGCAGCTCCCAGCCCTAGTACATGGCCGGGGACAGTATTTGCGAGAAGCTCTGTTCTGGAAGTTTCAGGGGAGGGCACATATAATGCACACGTCAACAAAGACAATCACCTGCCTCTGAAACGTTTAACTGGAGGGAGGGCTGGCCATCATTTGTACACACGAGGCATCGCAGAGACCACACGCATACGCACGCATGCATACAGGGACAGCTAGAATGGGAAAGTGTGGTAGACATTTCTTCAATGTGGCTTTTCTCTTTGGGGTTTCTAGATAAAGACGAAGGTATCAGGCATGAATGAGATGCTCATGAAAAAGACTCTCTAACGTGCTAATGCCTGCTCAACGCACTTGGGTCTGTATTTTAAAATTTGCTAAGGATTGGAAAATGGGATATATCCCAATATGATATGGGAATAGATACCTATTCGGGTAGGATATAAAGGGACAGAGCGCTGAGACTCGGATGAAGTTTAAAAATCGCAACCACTACAAGTTTCTCAAATTTTATCAGTTCTAAGATGCCAACAGTTTTAAGACATACCATTACTTTATGCACCACTGAGAAGGAAAATAAATGTTACCAATTTACTGTGCCATGACATTTATTGTCATGTGCATTCCAAATGGAGAGATGTTGGAATGGAGAAAGGCCCTTGTCCTGGAATCAATGAACTGTACTAACTCAGAGGACAACGTGAAACCACCTGTTTCGTTTTCACTAGCAATTTCGGTGATGGAAAAATCAATACAACAAAAAGAAATGCCTGAAAAAAAATTTAAAAATTAAAAAAATAAAAAATAAAAACTGCAACCACTATACGTATGCAAGGAAATCCAACCCTCGTTTGTACCCTGGTGGCACATCTCCAACCCAAATGCATCCTCTCCCTCCGCCACCAGGCTGTCCTATTCCTCCGAGCCTCCGTGTGGGGCACGGTGTCCACCTTCCACCCCTCACACAGGCTGGCAACCACTTAATGCAAATATGAGATCAAAGATCCAAAGGAATTTTATCTGTGGCTAGAGAGGAGGTAAAGTAGGGGGGCAGAAAAATGGAAACCTGTACGTGCGAGCCTCGGGGTACCTGGCGCCCAGTGGGCTTATAAATGGCGGCTGTGTTTTCCATCCCTGTGCGTCTAACCAGTGATGCACGTGAAGCAGTCTTCCTGGGCAAGAAAGCATGGAAAACGGTGAACAGTGAGGGCTCTCTGGTTGGAAAAATGGGAATTAACTTTAACAAGAGAGAGAAAGGAATCAGGGAGAGCTGGAGAAGACAAAGGACGCTCTCCTCCCTCCCAACACAACCACACAGCCACGGGTGTCCTTTCTTCTTGTGCAGGGTTTGGACCTACGCACGGTAACATGGGAAAGAGCCCAGAGTCGCACTTGAGCAAAAACATTTTGTTTTAGTGTTTTCTATAAATGAGAATTGCCGAGCTGTGAAATAAATCTCACCTCCTCGGGCGGTGGTAGGGGCGGGGCCCCGATGAGTAACCTTGGCTTTTAAGTGGAGTTTCCGATCATGAATATTTTACCCTAAGAGGAGCAGAGAGGGAGCGGCCAGAACCCAGAAAAGCAAGTGTTGTGTAAGAAGAAGCACACGATGAGGGATATTCTCATCGGAAGGTCACTGGGAAGCAAACAGAATTGTAATGGGGTAAGGCAGTCGCGTGTTGGCGAGATGCTACGGCATCAAGTCCCAACCAGGAGGCGTGGAGGAGGGAAAGGCTGTAAGGAGGGTGAACTGGCAAAGTTTGGGTGTCTTTATACAGACACTGATGTTTCCATAGGGTCAGGCGCACAGAATGGGGACACCAGCATCTGGTGAAAGGTTTTGCTTTTTATTTGATCTGTGAACTGGGGCAAAGACGTGAGTCCTCTCTCCGAGAGGACAGAATGAAGTGCAACATATAAGTCCTGCCACGTTGTCAGATTCTTTTTTTTTTTTAAAAAGATTTTATTTTATTTATTTATTTATTTATTTTTTAAAGATTTTTATTCATTTATTTGACAGAGAGAGACACAGTCAGAGAAGGAACACAAGCAGGGGGAGTGGGGGAGGGAGAAGCAGGCTTCCCGCGGAGCAGGGAGCCCGATGCGGGGCTCGATCCCAGGACCCTGCGATCATGACCTGAGCCGAAGGCAGACGCTTAACGACTGAGCCACCCAGGCACCCCTTTATTTATTTATTTGAGAGAGAGAGAATGAGAGATAGAGAGCACGAGAGGGAAGAGGGTCAGAGGGAGAAGCAGACTCCCTGCCAAGCAGGGAGCCCGATGTGGGACTCGATCCCGGGACTCCAGGATCCTGACCCGAGCCGAAGGCAGTCGCTTAACCAACTGAGCCACCCAGGCACCCACGTCATCAGATTCTCGAGACAGAAGGAAGGCCATGTGCCTTCCTCCTTCTTTCTCTCTCTGGTACTGTTCCTCCTGATCATCTTTCTCCACCGCCCCCCAGAAGGAGCCCCTTCATCACCAGGTTGCATTTACTACATCATAGTTTGTCCTTTCAGCCCTAGTGTTTGACCTACAACTGGATGTTCCCTGTGCCTACGTGAAAGACAGCACCAACCATGACTCAGATTTTTCCACGTTTCTGTCAGCAATGTCTTTCAAGCTCTGAGCAGCATCAGCTGTTAAGCATGCAGAACTCAAAACGGGTTACTTATGCACAGCAGCTGGAGCCTGAGCTACCCTGGGGGATGCGGGGAGTCCCTGGACGCCACAGTCAGATGACAGGACCACACGGTCTCGTTCAAGGTGGACGAAACCAGCACGCTGCAATTTTCAGCTCAGCCAGCTTAAA